AGGAAAAATCATCACTGAAATGGTCTTGAAAGGGATGACTTCCAAATTATTGTCTGTCAGCATGTCCAGATGGCCTGAATATCTGTCAGATCTGAGCAGTACTCATTAGAGATGCCTAGGAAAATAAAAAAGTTTCTTTTTGGTCAGATCCAAAAACGAAAGGAGAAAAAGTAGAAGAGGAAAGGAAGGACAAACATATTTTTAAGATGAATTTTCCCACTAGAAAGGGGCTGCTCAAAAGGCACAAAAGGTTTTGCTTTCGTTTTCTCTCAGCTGTGCACGAATCATGCTTTTATGTTTGTAGATGGGTTTCCACAGTGTTTCTGGGTTCCTTTCTGGAGGCAGGGCATCCCAGGAGATCACAGTCAGGCAGTCCCCTGCTGCTGGCCATGGTGCAGGCAGTCTGGCTGGTAGAGGATAGCTGTAACTGGGAAGTACAAAGAGGAAAACAATTTCCAGTGCCCATCTAGAAAGCACTGCAGGCTCTTAAAAAGGCCATAATCAAGGAAAATCATCATGGGTTCTGTTCCCATTTGAAAACACATTTTCTAGCCACAAGACTCGGAGGCTAAGTCTGAAGCTAAGTGCCCCATTTACTGCCATCACAACCTCTTTGTATTGATCAAACTGATGGGTTTTCCTCCCTTCAGATTTATCTGAATTCCAAGGGAGAAGAGAGGACTCTAAGGAAGGTATAGCTTTATTTAATGGACTTTTGGGGGTGCAGTGAGCAAATGGCCTGGCGACAGAACAGAAATGGGGCAAGTAAGAACTGTGCGTGCTGTGCCTTCAAGAAGCAAGGGAAAGAACTGAGCCTGCAAAGCAGGATTTGTAAGCTATGGACTGCTAGAAGAGTTACAGACAATTCATTTATTGTGTGATGTCTACAAGAGTTATGGAGGCACATCACTTCGAGTGAGGCTCCCACAGTAGCAGGCTGAGGACTGCCAGCCACAGGGATTTGCAACCTTCAGCTCTTGTGCATTAGCTTCTCCCCATCTTTGTTGGCCTTTCTGAGTGCAGTGATGTAGGCAAATCTGGTTAACGTCTCCTGTTTTATTAATCCTTCTGTACTTACTGTTTGAGAATTGCCGTTCCTGATGTTACTAATAGTGGTTGATATTTTACCTCTTGGAACAAGCTGATTGCTACATGCCACAAATCATGTCTTTATCACTTCAGAGATGAAGCCTTGATCTGTGCCAAGCCACTAATGTAATTACTGTCCCCTTCCCGCCACCCCCTGCTCAGCAGCATCATCCATATGCATAATTGCCACAGGCAATTATTTTCAATCACACCTTCAGACAAACAAGATTGTCTTCTAGATGCTAAGCATTACTAAAGTATGATCATGCACTATTCCTTCAGCAAGAATGACAGGTGGGGCAATCTGGGGAGGACGAGGATCACTCCTGGTAGTTTGCTATTGAACCATCCACTCCACTGGTTTGTAGTTTCACAGCTCATAGTACTTGGGAACTCTGCTCATTTAAGGTCAGTGTGGTCAGCCAGGAGGGCTCTCACAGCCGAAGGTAAAGTCACAGCAGTGGCCATAGGGCAGAGCATTCACACAGTGTTTTTATAAGCTCCAATGTTCTGTTTTGTGAGAGTCTGAACAGCTCCTCATTTTGCATATAGGCTGGTTTTAGCTCTCTTTCTGAAAACATCCAGCTCCCTTCATGAGCTATACAAAGAACAAAAATGGGCTAAGTCTTGGAGCCAAGCACTTAATACCAACTTTGCATTACTGCAATTGGCTGTGTTTAAGTCATGATGCTTGCAACAGCAGTGCATCACAGATCCTCAGGCTCTGCACAGTGTTAAGCAGCTCTTTTTGTTCCTGAATGTAAAAAAATATATATAAAAAAAAAGAGAGAGAGAGGGCACACGGTACAGCACACCAAACAGCAGCCAAGTGCCACCAGCACCTCCACTGCCACCCAGCCCCATCCAACAGGCACTTCTGAGCTGCAGCCCCATTGGTAAAGCTGCCATTTAGGGACCTGCTTATTTCCCTCCCCTTTGTCTTACTTTAAACGACTGCAGTGGATAATGAAAGATGACAGATGATGGTAATTACAGCACAGTGGCTCTTTTCCTCCCCTTTCTTAAGGAATGCTCTAGGCATCCTAAGCATTTTAAGCAGCTGTAGAGATGGGTGTGGTGTCCTGAGTAGTAACTGCCCAAATTCATTAACATGGGGCAGGACAGGGTGTGACTGGTGAACTAAACTGGTCACCTCTCTCTACTGAAGCAGCATAATTAGCTTAATGATTTCCGCTGGCTTTGTGGCCCTTGTATTTAACTTAGACATTTAAATAGAGGTTGCAGCTGTTCCACAGAAACTACGGTCTCTGATTAAACAAATTGGCTGTGAGCACGTGTATGGATTATTAGAGATAATAGCATGCAGTCTTTTTGCTTTCCCAAGGTCTGATCCACACGTTTAGTTGCTTACAAACATGAGTGGATTGACTGGAAGGGGAGGAAGGAACTAAAGTGCTCTTATCCAAGTCTTATTAATGTTACGGCCTTTTGGTGTACTTCACACTTGTATTACATAAAATAAGGGAATTGAAATGCCAGTTCCCAGATTCACTGCCTATTGAGACTGTAGTGGTACCAGCTTTGTTGCAGTCATGCAGAATGCTACTGAAAACAACGGGACAGATCCGCACCATTGTATGCACACAGTCATGCAGCTTTCTGAGCTGGTCTGCTTGGATATTACCAGGCAGCCTGTGGGATGTTACTGCCCCTGCAGGTGTTCAAGAGCCATGCAGATGCGGCACGTTGGATCACATGTTGGACTTAGTGATCTTAGTGGTCTTTTCCAACCTTAATGATTCTGTAATTCCATGATTCTGTGTCACAGCCAACATGGGGATAACACTGTCCATCAACTGCCTTTCATGTTCAGGAGCTCATTCTGTCTTCCCCAGACTTCCTTATCATCAGTAGTGAAGTTCCTTCTTGCCCTGTAGGTCCTGCCCACTCCTAGCACATCAGCTATGCTGTAATTGCTTCGCAGTGACCTTCTTGCTCTAGCAGTGCACATGAGAATCAGTTATGTATTTCTGCAAAAATCTTAAGCTGTCTTTAACAGTTTTGAGTCTATATTTGTTAATAAGAGGCCTAAGTTCTCGTGTGAGAAACATCCTTCCAGAGAACTTAATGAGAAGACACTCTCATTTACATGGATTCTACCAGCTTCTGTCGGCTCTGCAGCCCTGGGGAAAAAATCAGATGATACTGTGGGAGCTGGTAGTGAGAAGATTAGAAGCAACCACATCTAGGCCAAGCAAAGTCCTGAAAGGTCTAGCATTCATGTGGCCTTAATTGCTGCTCTGCCTTCACAGCTGCTGAGTGAATGTTCCACTTGAGAGGGGTTGCCTCGATGATTTATTTTCTGTTACGCTGTGTAGGGATGGAGAGAGGAACAGGCAGTGTCTGTTGAATAAGGGAAAGAAGTAAACTAGAGTAGCAAGAAGATCTAAGGAGGAGTGAACACTGGGCCCTGAACAGTAACAGGTGTGCTTGGAGGGGCTACTGTTCCTTTGGTTACAGCTAAGGTGCTAAGAGCATCAAAACATGTGGAGAAAGGTGGGATAAAGCTTCTTTGCATCTTCAAGCAAGTCAGGAATATAAAGAAGTGATTTCTGTATCTTACAGGAGTGTCAGCAGTATAAAAAATTGAGGTATTGTGAGGATAGAGGCTGTAGAAATGCACAGCTAAGCCCAGGCTCTGAGTCAGAATCACTCTCTGGACTCTTAGCAGACAGGTGTGACATCCATAGGGCCTCTGCCATCACACCCAGGGCTTTGCTGCAGTAGGAGCATAATAACAGAGGCACTTTGCCAGCAACCACGTTGCCTTTATTCTTATTGTCAGGAGAAGAAAAGTGAGGTGGTAGGAGGCCAAGGGACTTGCCCAAAGCTTGCCAGCAATGGCTGTAGGACTTGAAACCCTGTTCCAGTCTACTTAACAGGTAAAAGATACTGCTGAAAATCCACGCCGCCAACTTTCTGTGGTCTTGTCTGCCTTTTCATCCTTCAAATAGCACCCAGTCTGTTATTTATGTAGTGATTTGTTTCCAGTCTTATGCAGAAGATCTGAGACAAAGGAGGTAGAATTAAATGATTTAGCACACATATAGTTATTCTCTCTTGGCTGTCCTTGTTAAAAAAAAAAACAAACAAACAGATCTTTGACAGCTACACCTGCTCTTGGGCAGCTGCTGTCATGACAGCTGAGAATGCAATATGATAAAAATGCCACTTCTACAAAATAATCATGGCCCATTGGATGATTCCCAGCAAGATCTTGCGAAAGGGCTTGCTTAGCTCAAGCATATCTGTTTTGGACAGTGTGAGGACTGGAGAAAGAAAGTGTGCTGTGAATGTTAAGCCAAACACAATTACAGATAGAATGGCTCAAGAGCTCTGTTGCTTTTGCTGAAAGGAAAGTGTGCAGCATGTACCTGTGGTATGAATTGATCAGGTGACATGAAATCACTCTTCCTTGGCTTTTGAAGCAGTGAAAAACAAAAGAAAATGACAAGGGATTAGCACAACTGTCAGTTTACTTTCTCCTGCTGGAACCATGATAGACCCTGGTTGATTGTTGTTTTAATTAATCAGAAGCAATCAGCTTGTAAATGCTGTGATTAACACAGCTTTTGTTTAACCCTGTGTTGAGCTTTCCAAGCAGTGCATGTAGCAGTTCAGCAGAGTCAAAGGGGAGTTTAAAAGCTCCCGGGTAGCAGCTCCAGAAGCTGAGGCTGGCATCTGGTGCTGAGCCACCCCAGCTACCTCCAGCACACTAAGCAGCTGGAAAACCAGAATGCAGCAATACAAGATCAAATGATTTCCTACTGTTTTCAGGATAAAAATTGCTGCTTTTTAAATCTGAGATTCCTCAGTGGCAGCTTGACTTCTAGCCTGTGTTTAAGCTAATGGAAATTGCTTGTGTAAACTTCTCTCTCTTCCCTCCGTAGGTCTGTTGATTGGCTCTGGTTGTGCTCTCTATCCTCTTGGATGGGACAGTGAAGAAGTCAGACAAACCTGTGGCAACCTTTCCAACCAGTTTGAATTGGGTAAGTTTCCACAGAGTGTTTCAGTTGCATTATACTCTTCTGTCCACTGTCCATGAAAGCAAATGAATATCTGAATGCAGGTTTGGAGGAGTAACCCAGTTTTGTAGAATAGGGTACTCATATTGTGTGTTTCTGATGTAGGCTAAGGCAGGGTGGTTTCCTGAAAATATTTTCCAGCAGAATATTATAAAATATAATAAATAAATGTACGTGTATTTATATTTAAGACATCAGATGGTGTAGTCTTACAATATGTGAGTGAACACTCCAAGAGATCCTGGCAGGGTAGGCAGGGTCATCGTGTCACAGGTTGGAGTAATCCACAGTGACAGCAGTTAGTGGTCTTTGAAGTCTGGCATGCCTATGGCCTTCTAATCCAAGCTTGGGAATATGGTTTTGGTTATACACAACCTTGGGAAGATAGTAAACAACTCTTGTTCCCTGTGACTGCCTTTTCACAGGCAAGCAACCAGCAATGTCTGTGCTGACACTAAATGAGAGCCAAAAATGCAGTGAAGCTGGGCTCACAACCACACAGTTCAGAACGAGTCACCTCTAGAGAGATCACTGGGGTGATAGAGGACAGGCAACCAGCAGGGAGATAGTGTAGATGATTGGGATCTGATGTTTGAATGAACATGCAGATCCTTGTTAAGCTAGAAGGATGAATGTGGCTGCTGCTCTCCTACTCTGCAAATGCTCTCTAGTCCTGCATTACTTGAGAAAGAAGGGGACCTGCAATCTTCATGCAGGAGCAGGAGAGACTGAGCATCCCACATCTGTGCACACTGAGCTCCAGTTTCCAAGAAAGCATTCACACAGCTCCCCATTCCCAGACACTATGAACTAAGCCTTGTGGCTGCTGTTAGAAACTCTTTCCATAGCTGTGTGTGCGTGGCTCGTAGAAGCCTTTCAGTAACTCCAGTGCAAAGAACAGTGGGCAAAATCTACATGACAGATGTTTCTTCCAGCTAGGGGAAGGTGTCCTGGTCCATGGCGTTGGGATTGAAGCCAGATGTTCTTTAACGTTCCTTACAACCCAAAACATTCTATGATTCTATGATTTGGAAGTCACCCAGGGGGTCCAGGGGATGTGTAATGTGCCCTAGAAGCTTTACCTTGTTTTCTGAACCTTAATATCCTTCTGTACTTTTAATATTTTCTTTCAATGAAGTATAAAAAGTTCCTGCAATTTTTTTTTATTTTTTTATTTGCACTTAATACTTGAAAAATATGCATGTGATAGCTATGTGAACACAAACATATAGTTAACTAGCAGAAAAATAGTATCTCACAGATTCCTGGATCCATGGAAAGTGAATACAGTAGAAAAACCAAGAAGACAGCAGCTGTTGCAAGGAATAGCTGGGTTTGGTTTTAGTCGGTCCTTTCCAGAAGTCTGGATTGGTTCCTCACCAGCCCATTTGGCCTCTCATGGGTGCATGCATGCCAAGCATGAAATGGCATGAAAGGTTGCTCCTGCAGTGCCTACTTGTAGCTCCTGACAGCCTGCCCCTTCCCAGGCTTCAGTCACTGCTCTCCTCAGGGTGCAGAAAAGTGTTACTATTCCTGGTTATTTTTCTGAAAATCCACTTAGGCAGCTTCAAACTGTGCCACTGAGGAACACGCTGCGGTAAGGGGATGACAGCTGGACTAGATGATCTTAGTGATCCTTACCAACCTTAATGATTCCATGATTCTATGAAACTATGACCTTAAATACAGTCGTGCTTACAGCCAAGACCACCTTCTACATCTGATTCTTGACCCATTCATTTATTTTCATAAATTGAGCCGTTTCCCCATTTAAAACAGTGAAGGAATTCACATGAAAGATTTCAGCTTTTCCTCCTTGTATACATAAAGACCATGAACAGGGGACATACAATGTTAACTGTGAAGATGTGTACTCCTATTGTACTTTCTGGAGCTGTGCAGGGCATGTGTTTTGCATGCCTAGACTTGATGGCAGTGCTGGTCTTGCTGATCTTCAGGAATCTTGTGTTAACACATTAATTAACAGATTATAATGAGAGCTGAAACCCGATGTAGTAATTTTCACCAGGCAGCTCTGCCACTGAACTATTCCTTTTCCATATAGACTGGCAGTGAATTTAAATGTGTGTCTAGGATTTTTTTAAGTTAATGTCAGTGCCTTGTTGATGCTGTTATCAAAGTCATTTGTAAGGCAGAGGTACTGTCCAAGGGCTTTTTAATGGCCACGCTGCTCATCTCATTTGATATATATCTCTCCATTGGGGTGATAACCCAAACCCTCCAGTCTTTTCTGCATCATTAGAGACTAGTTTACTCATTATAGCCAGCAGAACAAAAATGATGTTTCAAAGACTTAATCTCACCCAGTCTCAAGACAAATTTTAGTAATTATTGCTTTCATTTGAATATTTAATTTGATTAAGCTGCAATGATATGCTTTCTATTTCTGAGTCTGTGAAATGAGTTGCCTCAAGAACCACACATACATGCACTGCATTCCTAATCTGCCCCTGCGAAAGGTAAGCTGCCATGAGCCCTGGGCTGGTGGGGTAAATGGTGGCAATAGGAGTGCTAGTCTTGCTCCTTCTGCTGCCATGTGTGCTGCTAAGAATGGCAACAGGATCCTCATTTGGTGCATGTGGTTACTTTCAAAGGGGAGGATGTTCAAATGGATGCTGATCAGGATGAAGTGGGCCATGGTGAATATGTACATTAGTAAAGGAGGCTCAAAGCGCACCAGGTTTGACCACAGAGCCAGTAAAGATAGGGGTTCAGCAACTGGTAAGATTTTCTGGGGACCTGCAAAATGAAATGAATCTTGATATTGGAGGTTGAAAAAAATAAACCAGGAGCTGCATTTACATCATAAGAGGATGAGAAGGACAAGAGGAAGGAGCAGAGAAGGGACTGCAAGAACTCACTTGTGAAGCAGGGGAATTGTGCTACCTAAAATGTAATGCTAACCAGAAACGTTTCAAAATTAGCTATTAAATGAAAATGGCTTGACAAAATTACCTCTGTAACATGCTCATAACTAGATAGAAGAAATAAATAGTGATGCTAAGAACCCATAAAAAGCCTAATCCTTAGTGGGTGCGCTAAATAAGGTGTTATTCTCTATCTCTTCATGCATTCTGAAAAGGCTTTAGAGTGATAGGCTTTCTAAATAGTGGTGAGATAGCCCAGATTGTGAAGATGGGACCCCCTTCCTCTGCACCCATCAAACAAACACATTTTTTGTGTCTATCTGGAGGAAATACTTAAAAAGGCTGCAGGATTTTTGTTTATGTGTAAGTGGATTAGGATATTCTCTTCTAGAAAACTGAGCTGACATTGTGACATGCCCACTGGTTTGCTGCTCTCTTTAACATTGGATATTCATTTGATTATTTTTTTTTTTTTAAGTGAACTACATCCAAATGGTTTACTTAGCAAATGTGCATTTAATTGGTCTAATTTTTTTGATCAAATAAAAGTGTTTGTACAATTTGATCTCTACAAAGGAGAGTCATTCTTCAGTTGAAGATACCCTGCCAAGGATAACCCTGTTTGTTGATTAAATTGCATTCAATAGATGAGCTGTTTTGCTAATGAGGAGAGGAGTAACCTCTGTAAATAGACAGACTGGCACACCCATAGAAGGACCTGCTGTCTGCTCATCTCTAGCAATCTGTTTTTGCCACAGTGAAAAGAACACAATGATAAACTAGGACTATGACCAATGATTCCTAGTAAACCTTGTTGCAGCAAGGTTGTTGTGGTATTTCCAGATCTCTGTTATGATTCCCAAGTCCCTGAGATCTGGTGAGACCTGTATGGAGGCACTGGGGCTCTGTTCCATACTGTGGCCATCTAAGATCATAGGTGCAGCTGAGTTCCCACCGAAACATCAGTCTGTGAAGCAGAGAATTCTTCTTCTGCTATTTTTAGGCTGGAAACTCCTACAAGGATGGCAATAATAATAAATAAGGGTGAGAGGAAAAGGATGGTCATGTTTTAAACTCATATCATATCAGTCAAGTGACTGACTGAAAGTCTTTTGTCTAATTATCATTACCTTAGATAGAGACTGGAGTTACAAAAATACCAGTACACATGATAATTTGACTGCCTTTCTGTTTTACCAAATCCCTAAGAAAGGCTCACAGTCATCATCTCTTGTCACCACGCAAGCTGTTGCTGTTATGCTGCATTATGTACGCACTGGAGTCACCTGTGAGCCCATTCAGAACAGCACTGCTGTGGCACATCATCCTCAGCAGTACACAGCTGCTGACCGAAGGGTGTGAATGTGAGTCAGATCTGCAGAATCTTGTGGCCTGCTAAAGGAACTTGCAGGCAATTTCCTCAAAGCAAGTACCTCTATAACACGTAGCATACGTTCAATTTTGCTGAGCTTGAGAGGCTAATATCCTGTTTTGTTTTCATTTCTAACTGTACCACACAAGAATAACAGCTCAAAAAAAATACTTCTTTTTAAGCAGGAAATTCTTTAAAGCGAGGGAATGAACGTTAAAGTGAGTCTGCATTAAAGTGAAGACTGCACCAGATGTATGAAAAAGCATCTACATTTTGCAAAACTCCTACTTTGATAGGAAGCCTTCTGAACTTGAATGCTTTTTTAAGACTATGCTGGTGTATATATGTGAGTTTACGTTAGCATTGGGGTTGAATGTCTAAACTCAACAAGAGACTTTATTTCAGGCCATCAGTTTCCCTTGATGCCCATGCAGAGGTTCCTCAGTTGTTTCATGCTCATCTCTGTTGCGATGGGTGTGGAGACAGCTAAATCCCACAGAAAGTGTCGGAGAGGACAGGACATGTTCAGCATAATTCATAAAATCAAGCCTTGGTTGGCATCTGGTAAAACAGCAACACATGAGCAATACCCAAATGCCCGAACAGCAAAATGCTTATCTAGAGTGAGATTCACTTGTTTAAACGTTGATGACTCATGCCACTTTAGGTGCCTTAGGAAATTTCATCTCACCTCTGGCTGCCAC